TGTTGTGGACACTCCATTGTGCACCCATGCGGAAATCGCATGAACGTCCCGAACTGTAGCCGCTGTCCTTGGCTTCGTATAAGTACGCAGCTCAGGCATCACGTTACTCGATGTGTTGTGAGGTCCGCGTAAGTAAAATATTTCATCAATCATATCCATCATGGTCAACTTCGATAATACCGGTAGTTTTACCAAGCTTCCATCTCATCCCAGCTGCTCACACACGGAGCGAAATAGAGCATCTAGCGCTGCCAGACTCTTTCGGTGCCTCCTTACGTGGTTTCGCCTACCGTGCTATACCAAGCGCCATCCAGTTACGATTCGCGAAATAAATAATTGTCTGAATGCTAAGGGCAAGCAAAGACTAAAGGTCACATGGAATAAAGAGCCAGAAGAGTGGCAAAAAGAGTGAGCGCTGCCTTGACTCAGAAAAGCACGTCCATTGCTAACAACTCGAAGCATAATTGATGTGCTCAAACGGAATCGTACCACAAACAATCAGAGCAATGATTTGGTAGTTATCAACGGCGATCTAGGCAGGGCGGAAAGGGGACAATGGTTTCGCTTGACAGCTCATGATGGGTATATCTTTATGTACAGCAGTAAATTCGAGAATCCAGAGGATCTCATCTCACAAATGAGACACGTTGGGTTCAAACGCATTTCCAGTCGTCGCGCTTGCGATCCCTTTGGTCGAGCCGCCGAGCGTAGTTGGCTTCCAAATTGGATGTCGTCAGGAAGCATTATAGTTGCGCAGAAGGGCTGAACTTAATCGTCCACAGTGCAGAAGGCATACACAGAAGGCATACAGATCCAGAGGCCACTGTTTGTAGGAACCCAGACGGTTGGTCAACTGCTCTCTGCTTAGCAGAAATATACAATAAATTTTGTAAAGACTTGGTACACTTGGTTCGTCCTTAGGCTGATGAAAACCAAACGTAGGTCAACAATTCCATGACAGTTACTACGCTGTAATATTAAATATTGCAATAAATATGTATCTCGCACCGGGGTTTTTGT